GTCACCTTGTTCAACTCTCTATAGTCAATACAGAGTCTCATGGTTCCATCCTTTTTCTTCACAAATAACACAGGAGCACCCCAAGGTGACACACTCGGCCTTATAAAACCTTTATCCAACAGCTCTTGCAATTGCTCCTTTAGCTCCTTGAGTTCTGTAGGGGCCATCCTATATGGAGCCTTAGAGATTGGAGCTGTTCCAGGAACCAAATCAATAGAAAATTCCACTTCCCTATTCGGTGGTAATTCAGACAATTCATCTGGAAATACATCAGGGAAATCTCACACCACATTAATGTCTTGAAGTTGCAATTCATCAAATTCCTTATCAACAACAGTAGCCAAGTAACCCTCACAACCTCTACTTAACAATCGATGAGCTTGTAATGCAGATAGGATCATTGGAGGTGACCTTCTAGTGTTACCTACAAAACTAAATTCCTGCTGTCCAGGAATTCGAAATTCTACCCTTTTGCCATGACAATCCAAGTTAGCATAATTTTGAGCAAGCCAGTCCATTCCCAAAATAATATCAAAATCATGCATATCAAGAATAATTAAATTGGTAGGAAGTTGTCTTCCCTCAACATGCACCAAACAAGACTTGCAAACTTGATTAGTGACTAACTTTCCCCCATTAGGGGTGTTAACACACATCCCCCATTCTAAATAGTCAATAGGTACACCAAGTTTTGATGCAAATGTAGTAGATACAAATGAATGAGAGGCACCAGTATCAAATAAAGCATGTGCATAAGATGAAGAAACTAAGAGTGTACCTGTCACTACATCATTAGATGCCCGCGCATCCTGTTGAGTCAAAGCAAAAACACGACCCTGAATTGGAGGTTTCTGACTTACTCCTTTACTTGAACCTGCAGTAGATGCTCTCTCACTGGCAACTGACTGATTAGCTGGGGCACGTTGAGTAACCTGGGTGTTTTGTCTACCTTGAGGACAATTAATGGCCTTATGTCCCTGCTGCCCACATTTGAAACATGAATTTGGTGGGTACCTTGCATGAATACAATTGGCTGCACGATGCCCAGCTTGACCACACTTAAAGCACAAACCTAACAGTCATCTACAATCCTTGGGTTCATGGGGCCCCCGACATCTCCAACTGTAATATCCCAAAATTTCTAGAGCATCAAGTGAGAGTTAGGGACCTAATTGTGAAGAAATACTATTAATGAACTTAATGGCAAAAATTTTCAAAGTTTAGGGACTAAAAGAAAGGAGATTAGGATAATATTTTTATCCTCAGCCACGTGTTTTGCTCTTCATCTTCATTTTCCTCTCCTTTGTCGACCGAAGCTCCCCTAAGCTACCGACTCATCCCCTTTGAGAAAAAATTGGTAACAAGCTTGATTTTTCCCTTCCTTTTCTTGTTAAAGAACTGATTTTAGGACCTAGAACCCTCCCTTTGAAGTGGGAATTTCAGATCTGCTTTGTTCTTCCCCTTTGTCTGTCTGCTGTTCTGCCGGGTGTGAATCCTTCGGGATTTTTGGTAAGAACCAGCTCCAAGTTCATCTCTTTAGCTTTAATTTGGCTTGGGTCACTCTAATCCCTTTTGTTTCTTGCAATTTTGTGGTAGTTTTCATGATTTCTTCTCCGGTCTCCGTCGGCCTCCATACCCGCCAGCTCCGGTTTTGGTTGCTGGAAAAATTCTGGTATGTTGATGGCATCTTTAAGTCCAAAAATGGTTAACTAGTTGCTGCCTTGTGTTGTTGAATTTTATCAATTTGTTGCTGCCATGTGTGTCTGAATTTCTGCAGAAATATGGAAGAATTTGGCAGCATTTTAAACATGTTTTTTTTTTAGCTTAATTCATGTAGAAATAAACCTGTTTTTGGCTTGAAATTAGCTGCTGTTCTGTGTGGAAAAATCCTGCTGTTTTGCCAAAATTTTACTGTTCACGCGCAGTTACTGTTCACGCAGGAAAATTTGAAATTTGCTGCTGCGTTTTCTGCATTTTCTGCTGCATTTTCTGCACTTGCTGCTGCATTTTTCTGCACTTGCTGCTGCATTTTTCTGCAAGTTGCTGCTGTTTTCACTGTTCACGCAGAAACATTCTGCATTTTCCTGCACTGTTTTTGACCAG